CAACGGGCCAAAAAAAAAAAAAAGAAAAAAACAAACAAAAAAACAAGAGCATTTCGAACATTGGTGCACATATCAAACCGCTAAGTAATGATGATTCCTACTGTTACCTCTAACAAAGCTCCACAAAACAGCCCAAAAACGCGTGGCTGCGCCAGCAGACCTGGTACCCACTGCCAATTAAATTCTAGCTAAACGACTTGGTATTTGTTAACGTGCATTTTTTCTCCCACACTGTATCGCAGTTTCAAATTATTGTGTGTTTAAGAGAAAATCCCCTGGGTTTGGCATCTCAGCTGACCCATGGAATTACTGCATCAACGTAGTACATGGCGCAAACTAGTGGATTTTGAATAAAGAGAAGTATCGCAGGCGCGATAGCATGGAACCTCGGCTGCTGTACCGAGGGCAGTACCACCCATATGTTCTGCATGACTTATTTAGAGCAGCGAAATTTCACTAATTTTTTGTGCCTGAAATATTCCTTCTTACACCTGTCTTGCAAATCTGGCAGATCAGCGTTAAGCGCATGACGGATAGGAGGCTGAACTGATTTTCATTTCTACCCACACGCAAGGCTCGGTATTTGTTTGTAGCCAAGGGGTGTAACTGAGACTGTATTTAAACATGTTTCCATGTAGGACACTTAGTCTGGTCACTTATTTCCTTCTGTTATTATTATTTCGTTTGTTGCAGGTACGCAGCACCGCCACCGCCCCCATCATACGGAACGTACGGAACAGGAGTAGCATCACCTGGCGGTGGATCTTACGGTATTGCAACCGGAGCAAACAGTGGCTCATTTGGTGGCGTCGGTTCTTATGGCGGTAGCTCTTACAGTGGCGGGGGATCATATGGCGCAGCACCTGCCATCAACTCACCCTCATCCTACTCATCTGGACAACAATCCTACAGCGCAGCACAAGTTGCGGGGCCCCAGCCGTCGTATTCCGCACCGCAACAATCCTATGGTGGTCCTCAGGTAGCTTCCCCTCAACAATATGCTTCCTCTGGCGGATACTCGGCCGGCGGCTCATCAGGCGGTGTACCGCCCCCACCACCACCACCTGTACCCCAGTTTCCACCGGCAAATGCACCTGCTCCTGGGCAGTATTCAGAGGGGCCTGAAGCGCAGGGTGGTGCTGCCGCGGGTGGGCAATTTCCTGAAGGTATGGTTTCGAATTTAAAATTTCATTTTTACTGTGTCAAACAGCACATTATCTATGGGAGTTATTAAAATAAAATGAAGAGAACTTGTTGCTCGAAAGGGTATTTAAAGAACTGAGGTATTAATCATGACATATATAAAAATGTAAAATTATTTTGAAAAACTGAATGAGCAAAAATGTTTTTATGATTCACTTGAGTTAACTGTTTCATGCAAAATAAACTCGCTCAGAAGCATTGTCGGATTTGCCATTGGGGTTTCGTATAAGTGATTTTGGGCAGGAAAGGAGCTAGTCACCTGTGAGACATGACTAAACTCAGTTTTGTAGGTGCAGCAGCGGGAGCAGCTCCACCACCGCCACAACCATCATCTGGTGGCCAATCGCAATACAGCGAAGGACAGCAAGGCCAGGCAGTAGAAGGCGGAGCAGCTCAGCAACCGGCACCAGCGCAGCAACCGACACAGCCGCAAGGTGGCGAAACTTATCAACAAGGGACCAGATTGCGGTGGCGGCGACAGTAACTCAGTTTGATAGCATCTAAAGTAGAGTGTTATGTTGTTGGATAGCTTGATAGTCTCATTCTAAGTTCACCAGTTGGACCTCTTACTGTAGCATTTTCTACTTTATCCGCATTTTTACCAGGTGTTAGCGAAGGCATATTTTCGCCTGATAATTTGTAATAAAATAGCAAGAAAGGATCTCTATTATTTGTAAACTGATTAGAAAAAACGAGAACTAACAAAATTTGTTAGACTGTCGAGGATGAGAAGCATTAGTACGGCTAGTTTTTTATTTCAGTTTTATTTCGATTGTAGTTTTATTGCCATATCTGAAATGCAGTAATAGCGTATATTCCAATGAGCAACATTACCGATGCGTGAGCTGGTTTGTCGCTTTGTGTGCGGCTTAACCCCGCCAGGGCTTGTTGCTCGTCTGGGAATACCGCTTGAATGTGCCATATTTGATCATTTATCAAGCATGCTCATATTCGTACAGTTCTTGTCAGTTTGTGTTTGACTTGATCTGACCATTCATTACATGCGGATTTTTCATACTTCTGATCTTACATTAAAATAAATACAGGCGCCAGGCAGATTGAAATTCGCAGTTGAAGACTGATAGCTGCTGATTGCCTTGCTATTTAGGCTACTGCCCTCAGAAACATACCCATGTTCTTCCATTCAAGTCATTTAGCTATTAGAATCTGAACAGTTTGTGCTAGCGCACTCTGCAGCAGCGAATCCAAGTGATATTCCCAGTTTCTTTGTTCCATTTCTTATTGCCAGTTGTCGAATAAACTGTTTGCTCAGGCAACCGCTGTTACGAACAAAAGTAGCCTATCGTGACGTGAATATTTACGAAAGCACTCTGCTTAATTACCAAAGAAATATAAGAGATGTATACCGATTTCTTTGATAACAGCGATATTAATTACAACACATTTTTTTTATAAGCTTGATTCCAAAAATCTATATTGCTCAGAATGAACCCAATTATTGAATGAATTGTACGCGGCCCCGGTTCACCTTGCTAGAAAAATATGGTTGAAAGCGCACCTATTCTACTAAGCTACTATTCTCGTTCCCCTCCCTCGTTCCTGCTGGAACGGCATTTTAGAATGCAGAGACTGCCTGTTTCCTATACGATTTCGCAGGGCGATCCTACATTTGAGACTGCTCCCATGCGCTGACGCAGCTATAATAAGCCCATCAGCTCCGCTCTGCATGCCTCGAACTATTCGTTACATATGTTTCATTACCTTTCAGTTCAAGTATTATCCCAGTTGAATAATACTTCCCACTAATTTTGCCTTTCCGAGAGAAGGCTGTTGGTAGCTACTAGAAAATTGCGCACTAATTGGTTGCTTATTGCAGCAATTCTTTAAAATAGAGA